ATATGTTGTAATTGACATCTTTGATAATGGCTTATGTAAGCCGAACGCTTAGATTGTATTAAAAAAATATGTATCAATACTGTGAATTTCTTTCTTCGTTCAACGATAACGTTATTAAACTTATCAGACGTTACGAAAAAAAAAATACATAAAATAAATAGACAACACTTGTCTATATTATTTAATGAAACGTGTATAAATAATAAATATACATATATCTACGTTCGAAATGCAACGTAACGATTCGTGGTTCTACCAACTCATCAGGCACGAACTATTACGGATGATTTTTCAAAAAATCAATCGTAATAGATCCACGAAACTTTAAGTTGCCCTTCGAACGTATGTGTATGCATATTTATTAATATATATATATATATATATATATATATATATATATATATATATATATATATGTGTGTGTGTGTGTGTGTGTGTGTGTGTGTGTGTATAAATGTAGATATAAACCAAATAATTAGATATTAACAGCTGTATATACGTGCGTTAATTAATTACGAGTAAAATGTTGTTTTTTTTTTTTTAACTTGGGCTGATTGATGTTACCTTCAGCATCTCGACACCAGTGTTTCGTAGATGGACCCTCCAGGAATCACTCTGTCTACTCGTCAGGGGATATCAGCAATTGAATACTTATACTTTTCGATTTTTCTTTTTTATATGCACTTTTAATTTTTTTTTTTTTTTTAGTGTATGTGTATGCGCGTGCCCCTATGGGATAACGATATATACATTTCTATATATCAAGAACAGTTTTGGAAGAAAGATGTATGATACATTGGAAAAAGTTTTCGTATGATGCGTTTCGTCCCTTAGGATTCATCGGAGTAGGCTTGTTTGCGTTGACGCGTCTGCACATGCGCACGAACGAGAAACACTGAGAATTTTAAATTCCGAAAAAAAAAATTGATTTTTTAAGTGTTTAGGGTATATAATCTAGCCAATTTAGATTATTTTCTTTTTGTTTTCATCATCTTTGTTATTAAATATCCCACAGTGTGATAACATGTTATTAAATATCCCACAGTGTGATAACAGAAAGGTACTTACAACATTTCACCATGTTTGGCAGGTCTTCTGTTATTAATCATTATTTCTATCTTCTTAATTCCAGTTCCTTTATTGTTGTCTCTCCTTAATAATGTTTTTCTCATATTCTATATATTCACAATAATTACATTTATTGTTTTTATCATTCTCCCACCACCATTATTAATCACTTCCACCAATTTACAATAACTATTAGTTACTTATATTATCATTGTCACCAATCCCCTTACAACATTACTATCACAACACATCTACTATTATCATATAGACCCGCTATAATTATTAACGTAAACTACCCCCTCCCCCAGCATATTTAATACCACCATAAAAATAGCCAATAAGGATTACAAACTGAAATTTCTAACAGTTACATATTCACAGTTATCAAAAACAAGCAAATAACCAGCTTTAAAATAAGAAATAAACTTTAAAAAAAATTAAAATTAAAAATAATAGCAATTTTTACCTATCATAATTTTATATAGACCCCCACCACACGGATATACGTGCATGCGAGGAAACATTATTCAGCGAAAAAATAGAAAAATGCTCTGATTGCTGACTTGTATGCATTCACGAGAAATTTTCGCTACACTTCCAATCTTTGAATTTCAACATACAAATGCGTATGTTGAAATTCAAAGACAACAGCACCCATATACATACATATGTCAAATCCGAAACTGTTCACATATGTTTATATATGTATGAGTCCCGAGGGACGAGCAAGTGTGTATGTGTGTCTGCGTACCTCATTGGGTGTACGGACATGCATCTATGTTTGCGTTAGCACGAGTGACATCACGGCGACGATTCCCCTCCCACTTCCATAATAACACCAATACCCCCAAAATTAATCAGTTTGTCTGACGATCGCAAAAGCCCGAAATCCAGGGTCACAAACTCAGATCAATCCAACTATATATATATATATATATATATATATATATATATATATATATATGGGCAGGGTGAAGTAATTGATAACGGCTCGGATTGAGAAATCGGAGAGTCGATTTCCAGTCGATCGAATCTATTACATTGACTTGCGTGTTAATACCCTTGGGAATACCACTTCTACTCCCTCCAGCAGGACAGACTGGGTTCTATAGCCTTGGATGGCATCTGATCTAGGAGAAGGACAACTCTGAATTCAAAACCTGCGGAAGGTTGTTTGGGGACCTTGTGGCACATAGGGCACTAGGTCTCTGTATTCGGCACTTCAAACAACGTGGTTAGTTCTTCACAAGGCCTTCATCACTAAAATCAAATCATATGTGATGGTGTCTGGGCTGTCGGTTCCTAGGAACTGAGCTGCTTGACCCTCATACGTCGAATATGATATATATATATATATATATATATATATATATATATATATATATATATATATGATGGATGCTCCTGTTGTATTCGACGTATGAGGTTTTGAATTCAGACTACACAAAAACACACACACACAAAAACACACACACACACATACAAACACACACACATGTATATATATATATATATATATATATATATATATATATATATATATATATATATATATATAACGTAAAAATATCTAAAAAAACCAGGGCTACTTAAGCTTTACCTTGTTAGGTCAGGAATCGTCAAGCCAGAAACCCATTAAGAGATTTAAATTGCTTGGTGTGTCGTTAGTGATTATTTAGCTGAGTTAAGCACCTGATGAGACCTTGGTCGTCGAAACTGCTTCATTTAGCGTTTTATTATTTTAGGATATTAAAGCGCTCTACATATTTGACTTTCTAACTTGATATTGTGCACTTTTTAGCACATACGATCTTAAACGACTATTTTAGTGTTTATTTACTTCCTCATATATATATATATATATATATATATATATATATATATATATATATATATAATATCCCTATATATAAGCACACTATAACTTATATATTAAGCATAATAGGATCAAGTAGTGGCATTTTTAGGAGCTTCAAACCTTTTAATTTATATACAATACCAAAACTGTAAATATGGTGTTTTGTTGTGTAAATTCCATTTGCCACATAAGTATTAGCAAACCGTTTCCTTGTAACAGCTGTTCTCAAAACGTTTATAACTACCCCATCCTTGGCCCGCAGAACAGACCTATAGCGTCCACTAGCAGACTGATCACCTTCAGTCGCATGAAATCATCTTCGGTCCTACAAAATCAACTTCAGTCCCACAGAATCAACTTCAGTCCTACGGAATCACTTTCAGTCATAAGGAATCACCTTCGGTCCCACGAATCATTTTCTCATAGGGAATCACCTTCAGTCTTACGGAATCATCTTCAGTCCAACGGAATCAACTTCAGTTTTACGGAATCATCTTTAATCTTGCGGAATCACCTTCAGTCTCACGGAATCACCTTCAATATACGGAATCACTTTCAGTCTTACGGAATCACCTTCAGTCTTACGGAATCACGTTCAGTGCTACGGAATGTCCTTCAGTCTTACGGAATAACCTTCAGTCTTACGTAATAACTTTTAGGCTTACGGAATCACTTCCAGTCTTACAGAATCACTTTCAGTACTAAGGAATCACCTTCAATTTCACGGAATCACCTTAAGTCTTACGGAATCACCTCCAGTCTTACGGAATTACCTTTAGGCTTACCAAATCTCCTTCAGTCTTACAGAATCACCTTCAATCTTACGGAATCACTTTTAGGATTATGGAATCACCTTCAGTCCTAAGAAATCACCATCAGTCTTACAGAATCACTTTCAGTACTACGGAATCACCTTCAGTCTTACGGAATCACCTTCAGTCTTACGGAATCATCTTTAATCCTATTGAATAGCTTTACCCTAGATATAACCGAGAACACAGACACTCCAGCAATTAACCTTGTAATTTGAGAATCTAAAAAGTATCCAATTTTTATAGTTCATATGTTACGATCTCGTGGATTTGACAAGGATCAGATTTATTCAGTTTTGACAAATTTAAAGCGTGATTTTTTGATTCGAGTTATTGTATATTGATTCGTCATTGCTATATGTTGGTTTTAGAAACTGAAACAAAAATGGCTTCCGAAAGTGTTTATATATATAAAAAAAATGGAGATATTTGTGTAAACTGTTGATTGCCCTGTTTGTAAAACACCTTGCTTTTTATTGAAAGTAAAAAAATAAAATAATAAATGCAACCTGATATTTTTAGCATAAAATTTAAATAAAGTAAAATAAAAAAAAATAGCTTATTTGAGAAGAGAAAAAAAATACCAAGACCAGAGAAAAAGAAAGGATTAATCGAATTTGGCAAACTTTGAGAACGGTTTGGACAAATCCTGATTCTTTTCTGACGTTTCCAGTAATCAGTTTACGGTCTGATTCTGAAGAATCCTCGTGTCTGCAAAGATCTTTATAACTTTACTTTTTTATCTTCTTTATTTTTTTCCCCTCCCAGAAGCCTCTAGTGCTAAATGTACTGCACTTGCTCATATGTATGCGTGTGTACGTCACGCATGCGTACTCCTAGCATTTGTCTCGATAGCATAAGATAAGGACAGATGAGATACTATCGCAGACAAGCAAATAACAGGATGTCAAACAATAGATATTTATAACAGATTACTTAATATTGTACAAGATAATATATATATTTAAAAAAAACTGACAATGTACATACGAAAAGTAGTCTTTGTAACATTGGAGATGGCAATCGGCCTACATCACATACAGCTACGCTTAGAAATGACAAGTTTGTAAAACTTATGGGAAGTCATTCATCATTCTCTTAAATTTATTTGAGGGTCTAAGAAGTGTTTTTTTTCATTGTTACATATAAGTTTTTATTGATAGATTATAATACGTAAAGGGTTTCCTTAGTGCAATCTGTTTTGCCTTCTTTTTTACATCGTTCGCTTCTGTTTATTCGTACAACTATCAGTTGCGGCCAAAATGTTCAGAACGGCATTGTTTTCGCCAGAAAAGTAGGTATAAGTTTTTATCAAAGTTGTTTTATATTCTATAATTTTCACAGACAATAAATACAATATTAATTGTTATTGTCTGAGATTTTGGTTTAATTTGAGAGGATAATACAAAAGTTATGGATGATTTAGTGACGCCGTTCTGAAGATTTTGGCCGCAACTGTATATATCACTTTAAAATGTGGCACTTCGATATAATGTAATGGTTAGCGAGTTTGTCACGATAAGTCAATTATGACTGATCAGTGTGTTCGATTCCCACTGGGTACACAATACTTGCGGCCTTGTACCACAGTAAAGTAAATCACCGCAATTTTATATCACTTTAAAATGCGGTATATCGACGTGGTGTAATGGTTAACAACAATTACGACTGAGTAGTGAATTTAATCCCCACTCGGAACACAATACTTACGGCCTTGTGCCACATCTAAGCTACGGAATTATATATCACTTTAAAATGTGGAACTTCGACGTGGTGTAATGGTTAACATGCTTGTGTAGCTAGATCAATAACGACTGAGTAGTGATTTCGATCCTCGCTGGGTGCTCCACACTTTCGTCCTTGTACGACATCGAAGCTATGCTTAGAAAATCATTTTAACTTCGACATGGTTAGAAAGCTTGTCTCGTTAGATCAGTTATGACTGAATTCGACCCCCACTGGATGCTCCACACTTTCGGCCTTGTGCCACCTCTAAGCTACGTATAGGAATCATTTTGGGGAGCACTTCGAGGTGGTCTAATGGTTAACAAGCTTGTCTCGCTATATCAATTGTGACTGAATAGTTCGATCCTCACCACGTGGTCCATACTTGTAGCCTTTTGTCACATCTAAGCTACGCTTAGTAAATCACTCGGAGTACGGGAATATTGCGTCATCGAACAAGATTTAAAAATATATATCAATGTTACAGTTAAATTTTTGAAGATCATAGTTAATAAGAAAGCAAGAAGCCAGAATTTAGTTCCATAGGCGAGAAGTGTGAGAGAAGAAACTATAAATATAAAAGTTATGGTTACATTAAACTGACGGGACCTAACTGCCAATCTAGTACTACGCTTAAAATCAAGAAGTTGCAGTACCAAAGAGGCAATTTTTATTTCATTTTATTTCATCTAAAAGGGAATATCATTGGTTATCACAAAAGATGCAGCGTGGTTAAATGAAAAAATTATTTTCAGTATTATTTTTCTTTCTTTTCTCTTTTCAGTAATCATCAGAGTTATAGAGCTGAATTTCATTCTCAAGCAAAAGCGAAGGTAAGACAATCAATTTTTAAACAGATTTTTTCGACAGAATTTTTTTTTACAGTGAGGTTCACCCTGTACAAGGCCACACTCGAGGTTGTGTTAAAATTAATGTGTTAACTTACTTGGCAGCCGACCGACGGCGACATTATAAAAATCCCAAAGAAAAAAGAAGAAAAATTACCACGGGTCTTTTATAGACACGGAAATTTTAGAACCCCTCCCATCGTTAGCGATAAAATACGCCAGCCATTGGTAATGACAAGAACGAGTGTTGTGTGTACTAAATGAGGAGGACGGATCTACCCAATGGGTATTACTTCCGTCGGAGCCTAGACTTTTGTAAACTTTTGAGGTTAACTGCGTCTACCCGGCGATAAACCACAACAACGGACTTTGTTAAAACGCTAAATTACCAGCTGCATTCAGTCGCTATCGTCGGTCGACCGCGGGTAACCCCCTGTTACCAATACTTGCGTGAAAATATTAAGAGCAGCGATTTTGTTTTTGTTTTGATTTTTTTTTTTACAGTAAGGTTCTCCCTGTACAAAGCCCGGGGACTCTCGATGTAGAGGGTTACGTTAGGAGGCAGTTTGTACGAATAGGAGGGGAAGATAACACTTAACCCTAGACTTGAACAGGTTAAGATTGTAGTGATCAGGGAAACATCTACTTGGGAGGCTGGAAAAAGCTGTTCGAAGGGAACTGATGGAACATGGAGGGGATGTAGGCGATTTGCTACAATGTAAGTCGTGAAGGTTAAACCTGACGGAACCAAGTAATGTAGCTCGTCCGAGCACTTTCCATGGAAACACTGATAAAGCACCGCGAGGCTTACCATATCCCGTCTGTGAGAGAGGAGTTGCGGGGGTAGAAAATAATTTGTCTATATTTCTGAGATGAGGTATTATGCACATTATTTACATTATTCGGACTAATGTCCTCATCTTTGTCGCCATATTTATCACAACGTTTCGGCCGGTGTACGCTCCGGCCTTCTTCAGGTGGTTGGAATGTCGAACTGAACCCTTTATTTCGCTCACTGGGGTAGACTGTTCTAGTTCCACGTGCCATGTTTGATGGATGTCAGTTATCAGTTATCTCCTGTTAATTTCCCTCTGAAAGTTCTCTCCTTAACCGTGTATTGAACTCACACTCTTTGGGTCTTGTCACTGGATCTAACCAACGCCTTTATTCACTGTGCCATGCGTCCTACCCCAGTGAGCGAAATAAAGGGTTCAGTTTGACATTCCAACCACCTGAAGAAGGCCGGAGCGTACAACGGCCGAAACGTTGTGATAAATATGGCGACAAAGATGAGGACAATAGTCCGAATAATGTAAATAACGTAGAAAATAATTTGTCACCCACAAGGACTCGGAGACGCTTTTGAACTGTATCGAGACAGGTAGGTGAGGGTTGGGCAGTTCCCGCCCAAATATGACAACAATACTCCATTCTCGTCCTGATGTAGCTCTTATAAATTTAGATGATAGCATGAGGAGTCAGGTACAGGGAGCCGACGATTTTCTTTTCATTTGAGGTCAGGGGTGATTTTAAGACCCAAGAGTCTCTCAAGGCACAGAGCTTCTCCAAATAGACAACCATTCATCGTGACTGGCGGTAGTTTGGAGTCCGATTGGCGATGATAGAATGTAACTAGTTTGGTTTTTAGGGTGTTGAGAAAATAATTACGTTTTAGCAGAAAGTTTACAAAAACAACTTTAAGATATTTAAAATATTATTTACTAGATATTTTGCAACACGCCGAGGCATGATGAAATCCTCACGATACTTAGTATTGCTGAAGTTATCGCTAATATTTTTGTCGAGATTTACAAACTACGTTTCGTTCAATTTCGCAAATCAATCGATGAAATTTGAATAAGCTGATTTGCTTGAAAAATACTTTAACAAAAAACCTACTTCGCGGTTTTTACGCAGCTGTACTTTGTATCCTCTTATGGGTACTCCTATCTGTTTGTAATTCTCCCCAAAATTCGGTTTCGATCGGTCAATGTATGGCTATTTTAGAAGTTGTGACAAACAGACAGACTAACGGAAGTTAGAGAATTTTATACATAGATGAAAAATTCAAATCACATTCAATTCCCGTTACGGCAACCAAACATAAGTGCCCATTTTAAAAAAAGAAATCTGTTGTTTTTTTTTTGTTCATGAAAAAAAATTTGAAAGACTTTTCAACTTATTTGACTTTCAATTTTCTTCCATTTATGAAATGCTCTTGCGATCGGCATAAATGAAAACCTGTTGTTATTCCCTCTGTAGAAAATGGAGGATGTGGAAGAACCTCCCATCCCAGTAATCATCTTTTCGTTGGATTTGATCTGCATAGTCTGTCCTTATATTCTCATGCTGAAGAATAACACCTTTTCTGCTTAACAAAGCTTTGTGATGCCAACGAACACTCGTCACTTTCGTAATCCTCGTTGTAGTAGAGACTTTGTAATCGAAGATACAACTATAGTAACGCCGTTGAACAATACTGATATCAGATGTCTTCGAATATCACTCGCACTAATAGTACTCGCTCGAATAGTAATCACCGTATAGTGATCTGAATAGAGAAATATTATAGTGAATAGTATAAAGAATAGCGATCCGTATGGTAATCGAGAATAGAGTAGAAATGGTGATCCGTTTAGTAATGGAGGATAGAGTAGGAATAGCGATCCTTTAGACGTCATGCTAACTTCTACTTATGCGTTTCCACTTAATTCAATAATGGGATCGCCTGTGTTTTCTCACTGGCGATCTATGTTCAAACTCAAGTGTCAGCAGCAACAGTTTATTCCTATATAACACAAAGCAGGTCACTTTCATTTATCACGCTTCATTTGCGCGATCAAGTCGCTTACAATAAACGTCTGCAATAATGATCCTTCCATGTTCCGTTAGTTCGTAATAGAAGACACCTTTCATATTCTAGTAGACGCATCGTCCATGAATTGAACACTGTTGCCACCTCTGGTCCTTTGCTCCTGTTGTATATCTAGAGATTCTTGATAAAATCCAAAGAACGATCTGTAATGTAATCCATCCAGACCAAGATATCTCGACTTCAGTCACTTTCTTACCAACGTCACGTGGCTTCTCTCTGTCTTTTCTACAACTATTTTCATGGCAACTGCACTGACGGGCACTGCACTGGTGCCCCGAATACATGAATTTAAGCGCGCAACTACATTAGCATCGAGGTTCCACAGTTTTACTATTGAAATGGCTAAACGCAATCACCACTTCTATTCCAACAGTTCCTTTACTCGCACTTCCTAACTGTGCAAATCCCTCCCGTTTTCTTGCTTCCCTGATAACTACAATCTCCAAAGATTTAAATGCAACGTCAATCGCCATCTTCTGTCTTCTTGGATCCATTTCATCTTTTGTCCTTTCCCCAATCCTCCCTATTTCAAACTTCTCTTTCATTCACAATCCCCGTACCTTCTGCGTACTAGCGGCATTACCGCCTTTCTTGGGGTGAAATGATTAACACACACACACACACACACACACACACACACACACACACACACAAACAAACAAACAAACACATAAACAAAGCAAGCATTTGTCTGGATGGAGTCCAGTTTTAGTGTGGCACTGGTTTATCTTTTTGCGATAACGACCGCCCTTTTCTTTTCCTGTTGATTTGCAAAACCCATTTTTAATCGCCTGAAATGATGCGATGTAGACATGCAAGGTTTACATTCCTGATTAAAAGCGTGTTACTGATCTTGAAACATTGTTTTCGGTTCTCAAGAAAAAGCTTATGAGAGACTCAAGTATCCCTCTTTGCAAGTTTATTTTTTTAAAGTAACCTTAATGCACTATAAAGGACACGTTGTCGGATGGAAAATATGATAAACCAAATCTAGACGTAGTTTCCCATCTTTCGACCTTGGGTTTTCCTTGGTTAGTTGACCAATTCATAAAGGTTAAACGTGTAGTTATTTTCCGAACACCTCCTATATTTTGTCATTGCTCATATATCTCGACTTGTTTCTGATATAATGGAATATGCATACACCTGTGTTCCTCCTCACTGGAATATGATTGGCTGGTGCCCGTCATAAATACCGACGGACGTGTAGGTACGAAAGTCAAAGAGCCTTAGTCTGAGAGCTAAGTCTATAACGATGCCCATTGGACTACGCCATTGATCTACACTTATTACCTGCGACTACGACGCGTACCAGTCGATTAATGCTACCGTATTCTATTTGGTTATAGTAGCCAAAATCACTTAGCTACTTCGTTCAAATATATCCCTTTCCGGGACATATCAGTTTCTGTGTCTGTTAGTGGAGGGGCGAAATAAAAATTTTAGAGGACTCTGCAATTATTTAGACTTGTGGCTGCCACATTTTCACATAACATTTTTGATGGATTTGTTTAATAAATCCCATCCGTTATAGATACAATCATTAGAGCGAATAAATGTTTTGATGGATTTGCTTTATAAATCTTTTCCGTTATTATGTAATCATTACAGTGAATTAAAATTTTGATGGATTTATTTAATAAATCCTATCCTTATATATATATATATATATATATATATATATATATATATATATATATATATATATATATATCCGAATATATGGATATAGATCCGACAGTATGAAGAAAAATATACTGAAAAAACAAACAAAAATCTTAATATGCGATTATGCTGTTTTAATGTTTAATGTCAACGTCGGACGTTTCGGTCTAATAGACCATCTTCAGGACATATTCATAAAACATAATTAACATAGACCATATACAATTCAACATGAAAAAGACGATGGACATAAAAGCAATACCAATCCAAACAGATAAACATAAAAGAGTTGACATTAAACATTAAAACAGCATAATCACATATTAGGATTTTTGTTTTTTTTTCAGTATATTTTTCTTCATATATATATATATATAATCAGTAAAAAATGAAGATTTTGACGTATTTATTTAATAAATTCTATCCGTTATATGTGTAATCATTA